TAATCCTTGCGCGCAGGATTTCAATTCCAAATGTTGTCCCAAAAATCTGACGAAGTTGCCACATCTTTTTATGGTCAAAATGAAGAAGACAAGGGAGCCGGATTTCAAAAACATGTTTTCTTTCGGCATTAATCTTAAAAACTAGAATCATGACTGTTTTTTTGCCCCTTTTGGACATTCATTTACCTCTATCTAAAGATTGAGACACAATTTTGAAAAAAACTCTCCCTTGTCTTCTGGCTATTTGAACACTGGTCATTTTAAGCTGTCGCACAACATTCTACCTCTTATGGTCTCCGAGATATCCTGCGCGCAAGGTAAAAAAAAAATATACCGAGAAATACCGGTTTAAAGTTAAAAGGCCTAAACCCAACCTCACAGTGATTCTCAGAATTTAAAAACTCCCTTTTGCCCATTTAACGGTGCTGTGGGTCGAAATATGGTCAGGTTTTGGGTTTTACCAAGGCCCAAAGAGTCCAAAAAGAGCAAAAACCGAAAATCGATTTTTTTCACTTTCCCCCCCCCCCCCTTTAAAGCCGTGGTTTTGGCAATATCCAAAAGTATTGCCAAATTTTGGCGATACTTTTTTGTATCGCCGTTCTGAAGGCAGTACTTTTCCGCAAGGCCGTTTCTTGGCGATACTCAATTGTATCGCCAAAAAATGTACTTAAGTATCGCCGTTGCATTTGCAGTGGGGACCGGCGTGCCGGGGCGTGCGCACTTCGCAGCGCAGCGCCGCACTGCCTCGCCTTTTTATCGCATTCCAGGGGCATGCCGTTGGGGGCTGGCTGCTCGGGCTGCCCGCAGTCTGCGGCTGACTGCCGGCTGGCGGCCGGGCGGGCTGGCGCCACCTGGAGCCACCAACTCCCAAACTATTACCTCGCAGTGCGGCCGGCTGGGGGCGAGGGGGAAAGCACTCGCGTAATAGTCGGGTCACTCTGTCCGTAATAGCACGCGTAATAGTGTGCGTAATAGAAGCGTAATAGCCGAAATTCTCCAAATTTGATCCATTTTAGGGGTTTTTTGGTCTGTTTTCAGCTAAATTCCTATAATTTTGAGGCGTAATAGAGCGTCATAGACGTAATAGTCGGGTCGCAGGTTTTAAGAGTGATTTCCCCCTCGGCTGGGGGCCTGGCTGGAGGCTTGCCAGGTGGCGGGCTTGGCGCCGCCGTGGCGCCGTGGCCGCGAAGTTAAGAGACCCGCCTCGGCCCGCCTCGGCTCGGCGGCCAGATGGCGGCGCGTGGGAGGGTCGCGGCCCGGCGCGACAACAAGACGGCCTCGGCGGCCGCGCACAGGAACAAAAGACCTTGTCACCGGACGCGAGGCGGCGAACAAGAACAAGCACCCGGTACTTGTTGATCGGCGGCTTCGCGAAGTGTGTCAGAACGGAGCGCCATTGTGTGCCGAAGGTCCATCAACAAGTGCACGAGGGGCACGAGGGCGGCGCGCACCTGCACTGGAAACGGCTGCCGAGGCCGAGGCAGTCGAGGTGCAGGGCCGCGTCGCCATCCTGCTCCGCTTCAAGACCGTCGTCGCCTCGGTGAACGGAACTGCTGACCCTCTGCGCCCCCTTCCCCACTCGCCCGCCCACTCGCCCTAAATCTCGGACTCGACCTTCACAATGGGCGTCCTTAGCACCTACTTCCCCTGCTGGCCCTGCCGGCCCTGCTGGCCCGGACCCCGGCCTGCCTGCAGCGCTATTCTGCCAAACGGGCAGCGCCCCCCCCCCCCCCCACTTCCCCCTTCGGCTCGATTCTCCCTGGAGAGAGAAAAAGTTTCCGGCCAGCGGCACTGAATCTCCGAGAGTGTGGGGGCCAGTCCACCGCCGGGCCGCCGCCACTGCTATAACCTCCGCCTTTTTCCTCCGCGCGTTTCGCGTCGATCTCCCGTCTTTCTCTTTCATTAAAGCGCGTCTCATACCTCCACCGTTATTCTCCCCTGCTTCCTCTCTCTGTCTCTCTCCCTCCTCCCAATCTACTTATCCTGGCTGCTGCTGTGCGCGCCGTGCGCCGTGGACGTCGTCGTCGTCCTGGCCTTTCCCGCTGAGCTGCGAACACACCGGAAAAGGGGGGGGGGCACGGGGGCGCCTCCGGTGCCGAGTGTGTGCTGAGCCGAGGGGCTGAGCTGCCGTCTCGGCCCGGCCGGGGCGGGGCCGCTCGGCAGATTAAATTTGCCCAAGTGCGCGGCGCAGGTGATGTCGTTCGACGCGCGTATTTCCTCACACACACACACACACACAAAATCATGCACGCGCACGCACACACAAATCATGCACACATACACTTCTTTTTCATTTTCCCTCTCCCGCCCCCGGTGATAAACAAGCACGGCATTGAGCGGAAGGGTGGGTTGGTAGAAAGGCCAAGTTTTAATGAAGGCTCGCGAACGCAAACCGATGATACGGCGCGGAACGCGGAAAGCGCGAGCAGAGCACTGTACACTGTACACGGACTGTGCAGCCGTGGCATGGCGGCGCCGCTCGCGCCGTGAAGCCGTCGTCGTGAATGCGTGGCAGGTTTAATACACGGCGGGGACTGTGGAAAGGGGCGGAACCGTGCCGCGGTGCAGGGAGGGCGATGAAGGAAGCCCCGCGCAGGGAAGCCAGCGCTGAGCCCCGCGCCCCGCCGCGCCCCGCCGCGCCCCGCCGCGCCCCGCCGCGCCCCGCCGCCCCGCCGCGCCCCGCGCGTGCCCCCCGCCGGCCAATCTCAACACGCGCTGTTTTTCCGGACCACCGTTCGTTCCGACGTTTCACCGCCGCGCCGTTTCCCGGCGTTCCGCCTCCTGACTCGTGGGAGTCATGTCGGAGGGCCCAAACTGCCAGCGAGGCATCCGCCCTCCACGCCGCCATACGCTCGGTGTTTGTGAGTGTGAGTGTATGTGTGTGTACGCGGCCACCGCCGTGGCGAGCCGGCGCCGAGTCTGGGCTGGGCGGTCTGGTCGAGAGGCAGCACGGGGCTAACAGGGGTCTGTTGGTTCAGCACCGTCCTCACTCCCTCTCTCTCTCTCTCGTGACCACACATCCCATTATCCCAAGCCACCACTGCAACCCCCGACGACGGTTCGGGCCCCTCTGCCCGGCCACGGCGCGGCCCAGCTTGGCGGCGGCCAGGCTCTCTAGATTTACCCGCCGCAATCTCCGAGGCTCAGTTATCCTCGAGGTTATCCCACTGCGTCTCGGCCTCCTCGGTGGCCCGCAGACTGGCTCCGAGAGTCGTTTCCGTCGCTCTCTGTCTCTGTATGGGGCGTCCTGCATGGGTGCGAGGGAGACAGAAGGGTCCGAATCGGCCGGCTGCCCCGCGTCCCGGGGCGCGTCGCGGGGCGCAACTCATCCCAAGGCTGGGGCAAGCGGAGCGGAGCGGCGGAGCGGTGCTGCCAGGCCTCGCGCCGAGTCTGGGTCACGCCAGGGGGTGGGTGGGCAGCGGCAGCGCGGCAGCAGGTACGCGCGGTACTGCTGCGTGCGCGGGGCGGGGCGGGCCGGGGCGGGGCGCGCTGTTGTGGGTAGCGCGGCGGGTAGCAGAGGATGAGGGCGCCACCAGCGTGGTGGTGCGGCCCACCACCATGACGCCGACCTTACTGCCACTCCGTCGCCCCGCCGCCCCGCCGCGCCGTACCCTTGTTTCTGTATTATCTCCCTGTCTCTGTCTTTTGTTGGCGGACGCTCTGAAACACAGAAGCACAGCGCTAGCCGTCAGCGGGAGGAGGCACTGTTCAGAATGAGCCTGCTGTGGGACTGATTCCGGGAGTTCTTGTCGTCGCTGTCTCTCTCGCGCGCACGCGGGACGGCCCACGAGTGCGTGAGAGACAGACGCGACGACGACGACGCTCGGAATCAGTCTGCTGGGCGCGCTTCCGCGGGAGGGCACTGCGAGGAGGGCTCTGCGAGGAGGGGGCGCCTTCAGGCTTTTAGGGCGCGCGCCTGCTATTGACAAGGCGAAGGCGAGGCGGAAGGCACCTGTCCGCGCCCTGTCCGCCCCGCCCCGCCCCGCCGTCCCTTGTTTCCGTTAGAGTCACTTTGATCTGAGCACGCGGCGCGGCGGCACAGGGCGGCCCAGGACGGCCCAGGACCAGGTCCAGGCTCGGGGTGGCTTGGGGCGGCGCCGAGGCGCTGAGGCGTCTGCCGTGGAGGCGACGACGACGAGGCCCTCCGATGAATATTGCATCGACAACGCACCGCTTGCTGAGTGGTCCGAGCAGCTGTACTGCTGCAGGCGTGTGTGTGTGGTGTGTTTGTGTGTGTTTTGTGTTGGTTTGTTCAGTGGGCACGGCGTGCCTGGGCCACAATAACAAACTGGGTGCGCAGCACAGCGCGGCGTTAACGGCCACCTCTCTGGCGCGACCTTTGCGGCGACGAGCTTGCCATGCCAGTACAGCCTGAGCCAGGTCGGCCAGGTTGTGCGTCTCACCGGTGTTTGTGGTGGCTGTGCTTGCCTCGGCTTGCCCTGCCGTCGCCTTGGCTCGTCGACATGCCAGTCATGCCACTGCACTGGCGGGCCGCTTCGCTCCGCCGCTTCCGGGTGCTTCCCAGTGTGCCCGCGGTGCCGACGCAAGCTCATTACCCTAAGCCGAGTCAAAGACAACAATGTCGCCGCCGCCGTGGAGGAATCGCGTCAGGGCGGTGAACCGGGCAGCGCGAGGGAGAGAGGAGCGGAGAGGAGGGTGGGGCGCTGGGGGCTCGCCCAGCACCTGCAGCATGTAACCGCACCGGCGCGGTTTAGTCTATTGGGTCGTCGGACCACTCACCCCTAGGCGGACGGCCGGGCGAGCGGGTAGACGGGCGGACCGGCGGACCACCCCCCGCTCCACCCCCCGCTCCACCCCCCGCTCCACCCCCCGCTCCACCCCCCACTGCGCGCCGTCCCTACCTAACAGGCTCGATCGACTGGCGCGTCCAGGGGTGGGGCGAGGCGGGGCGAGGCGGGGCGGGGCGGGGCGGGCAACAGGTGAGGGGTGCGCCCGAAGGGTGAGCCGCCCCTCCGTCGCGGTGCGTCACCTGGGTTGCCTACGCGCCCGTCCCTGCCGCGTGCTGGAGGCTGGAGAGACGACCCGTGGCGCCATCTGTTGAGCGGCCTCGCCCCAGCCCGGCCGCACATCTGCGTCGTAGGCTTTCCTCAAAATCCCCCGCTTGTCGTTTGTCACGTCCTTCCGACCGTGTGAGTCGTGTCTGTCTGCCTGCCTGTCATTCTGTCTGTCCGTCTGTCTGTCTGTCTGTCTGCCATTCTGTCTGTCTGTCTGTCTGTCTGTCTGTCTGTCTGTCTGTCTGTCTGTCTGTATGTCATTCTATCTGTCTGTCTTCCTCGAGCTCGCCATCTGGCGCCGGCAGGCAGGCAAGCAGGCATAAAAGCCTGGCTGCGTGCGCTGCGCGGCCTGGCCTGGTGCGGACGGTCGTAGCAATAAATACTTTTCACCCTTCCCCCCGGCTGCCCCTGGCCGCTGCTCCGGCCCGAGAGCGTGTCCTCACTCATCAACTTGAGCCCGGCCGCCACGCCCCGCCACCTGTCCCTCTGCGCCTCGCTGTGCGGCCCTTCTAATCCTGACTCATGACCCTGCGGCCTGCGGCCTGCCCCCTGTGGGCAACGACAGGCAACGACGACAAGGAGGCTGGGGGACGAAAAAAACACGCACGGAGTGAATGTGTGTGAGAGAGAATGTCTGTGTGTGCGCACCACGCTGTGACGCCGAAACAAAACCGTGTGACGTTGCCAGGCGACCGTCACGGCGTTCGTCGCGCCGTCAGTGAGCATGGCGTGAAGAGGAGCGCATCTCCGCCGTCACTTCGCCGTCGCACCGTCACACAGCCACAGCCGCAGGTGAGTGACACCGCCATTCGCCGCCCGGCGATGCAGAAGACCGGTTCGCCGCTCTGTCTCTCTCGCACCCTCACGGAGAGGCCCGTGAGTGCGACAGAGACAGAGCGACGAGACGACTCTTCTGCATCGCTCGGCTGACGCTGGTGTGTTGGTTGTCGTGTGGAGAGTGCCGAACTAAATCCCTCCGCTCTAACTCACTAACACACCTAGAGATTTCTTTTGAAGTGTACCAAAAACTGCTGCGCGTTTCGGAGAGTTGAACCCGCGCCTTGTTGCAGCCATGCACTCCATGGGGCTGCACTCGGCCCTGGCCATCAAGCGGCAGCGCAAGCGGCGCGACGAGCAGCGCCGCGCCCGCGAGCGCCGCTACTCGCAGCAGTCCAACGAGTCCGGGCTGGGCGAGAGCAACTCCAGCTTCGTGTCGCCGCGCTCCTCCGTGCGCGGCCGCCACCGCCGCCACCAGAGCTCCACGGCGCCGGACGAGAACAAGGTGAGCATCCTCTCGTGCAAGTCGGGGTTCCTCGTTGGGGGAAACCAGTTTTTTTTTTCTCTGTTTCGGCTCTTTTTTTGGGGCGGTCTGTTCGGTTCCCGTTTGAGAGGCGCGCCGATGGGGCCGCTGTGGTCGGGACGCGTTTGCCATAATTGGCGGGAACGCGTAATGGGCGTCCATGCATACCGTGAGGCTGCCAGCCCCGCCAGCCCCGCCAGCCCCGCCAGCCCCCCCCCTCCATCGAGGCACTCGTCACGTACGACCCCGCCTCCCCCACCCCTTTCCCTCACCCTGCTCCCCTTAACAAATTCCGCCATCCGGGTCGCGGGGCCATTACCATAGCGAAGCTCCCCCACCGGATTCAAGCGTGATCCGTCCAATTTAAATTCAGGGCGGCACAAGGAGTGTGCTGACGGACTGCCCCGGGGAGGGGAGGGGGAGGGGAGGGGTTAGTAATGTAGTGGCGGCACTGGGAGGGCCACCGCGGCCACCGGCAGGCCAGAGGCCACTGCTGGGGAAGTGTCATGTTGAACGCGGCGGGACGGCCTCGGTCTTGGTGGCCCTGGCGGCCTCGGCGGCCGCGGTGCTGCGAACTGCATAATCCGGGAGTAAGGAAATTGCGCGCCGCGTTCAGGGAGGGAGAGAGAGCGCGAGAGCGACCCACGCTGGGCGCGCGTCTGGAAACTCTGAATAAATCTGCCCTCATTTATGAGCGTCCTGCCGTTTGCATTGAACGCGCCTGTCTGCCTGCAGATGATGTCGTCCGTGGGCATGCTGCACATCGGCGTGGTCTTCCTGGTGGTGGGCGGCTTCCTGCTGGGCTCCGGGCTGCTGCCCGAGGACGTCACCTCCTGGAGCCACTTCACCACGAGCCAGTGGTGGAACGAGCTCACCATCGCCGGAGGGTGAGTAGCCGGCCTGGCGCTCGGCGTCAGCGGGTGGAAACTACTTTTCCGAAACGGGCGTGCAGACTTTTTATTATCCTTTTACATCGGCCGAACCAAGCGAGCTAGGTAAAATCTTTTTTACTTTTTCAAATCAGCACAAAATTTGACAGGGAATAGGTACTTTCTAGATGGAAAAACCCAAAAATGATCATAGTTATTTTGAAGCCTAAAAACAAATGTGTTGCAAAATATGGCCCTGATCCCATGTCTCGCACTGTCGCGGTTTGCTCAAAATGACTGATTGGAAACGTTACTGTGGCGAACGGAGCGTCGTATCACAAATCCAAAAACAGATTTGGAATCCTCAAGACATTTTCCACGGTATAGGCATATGCGTTTTTTTGAATTTCAGATTTCATCCTGAAAACTGTCGGCGAATTTCAGTCGATTACGTGTTTACAACAACATTTTCGTGGCTCAAGACCGACTATTATCGGGGATCGTTGTCGTAAGAAGGAGTGGTACCTACTCCATCTATATAGCCTATACATTGGCAAATTTTTTGAGGATTCCAAATCTGGTCTCAGATTTGTGATACGACACCCCGTTCGTTCACATTAACGTTTTCAAGATGGAAATGTTACTCGACGAGACATGGGATTTTTGGCCTTTTTTAAACATTTTTGTTTTTTAGGCTTCAAAAAAACCATGATAAAATTTTGGGTTTTGCCATCTAGAAAGTACCCTATTCCCTGTCAAAATTTTTTGCTGATTCCGAAATGTAAGCAGATTTTACCTACTCGCTTGGTCGGCCGATGTTAACGGATAACAAAACGTCTGCACGCCCGTTTCGGAAAAGTAGTTTCCACCCGCTGTCGGCGTCGACGGCGTCCTCGGTGAAGCGAGACTGACGTCACTGCCTGCCGCAGGTGCGCCATCCTGCTGGGCGTGTTCCTCATCGTGCTGAACCGCTACATGGCCAAGCGGGAGGAGGAGGACCTCACCGAGTACGTGCAGCGCCAGCTGACGCGGTCGCGCTCCGGGCACCGCCTGGTGCGCGACGTGGAGACGGGCGCGCTCACCAACAAGCACAACGCGGGTCGCTCGGCCGCCGACCGCGAGCGCGCCGCCAGGTCCACGTCGGAGCCGGAGGGCTTGACCGCGGCCGCGGTGGACCCCAGGGACATCAACGTGGACGGCGGCCTGTCCCCACTGCAGAGCCCCTCGGCGCTGAGGTCGCCGCCGCACCACCTGCTGCACTGCGACCTGGAGCAGATCCTGGAGGAGGACGGCGTCAGCGACCGCGGCGACCTCATGGCGCCCAGCCCCGCGTCCGCCTTCAGCCAGGGCCTCGTCCTGGACTCGGAGCCGTTCGAGCCGCGAGAGATGGTGCACCACGCCCACGGCCACCACGGCCGCCTCGACTCGCAGCACAGCCGCCACGACTCACAGCACAGCCGCCACGACTCACAGCACAGCCGCCACGACTCACAGCACAGCCACCACGAGGGCCACCACGGCCGCCACGATTCGCAGCACAGCCGCCACGACTCGCAGCACAGCCACCACGAGGGCCACCACGAGGGCCACCACGGCCGCCACGACTCCAACCACAGCCACCACGAGGCCCACTCCGACCTGGGGGGACCCTACGGCCACCGGTCCCACCACATGGTGGCCATCTGAGCGGAGCCTTCCTCCGCCAGGGACTGCCCCCGCGGATCCACCACTGCCCACCACGGGCCGCGCAGCCCGCCGGCGTGACTGCCCTCAAAGCCAGCACACCAAGCAAAGCGCGCTGCGCTCAGAGCCACGCCGCCCTGCAAGGCGGGCCGCGCTTCTCCAAGGGCTCTACGCCCTTTCCCTTCGGTTCCTTTCGGTTCCCTTCCGCTCCCTTTGTGTCCCGCGCAGGCCGAGGCGAGCAGGCCTGCAGGCCGACCCCGTTGCGGACAGCTCTTTCCTTCCGCGTGCAACTCGTGACGTGGTGCGTGCTGCGCGGCGCGCACGACAGCAGTCTCCGGGGACGCCGCCATTCCCCCTCCCCTGTCCTTCCCCTCACCACAGCCCCTGACTCTTTATCTGTGTCGTCAGTGTGTGCGTGTGTGTGTGTGTGTGCGTACTTTGCTCAACTTATCTTGCAACTACTTCAACTACTTCTTTTTTCGCCGTGAGATAAATGCCCCTCCCCGTCGATCGCGTTGCTCAGTGCGACGCGTTAAGTGCCAGGGCGGTAACAGCAGGGTGTTACGGTGTTGTGATTTCTACGTAGTTTCATTACCTTTGTACGCTTTCGTAATGTTTTCTACTGCTTCTGAAATTTCGGTCTAATGACGAAACGTTTCTTTACTTTGGCGCGTTGACATGCGTCTCTGGACGCCTGCTGCCAATATCAAAACGACGTTCTAATCGCGTTGAGCTAACTCCATACTTTCATTGTACATACAATTCCATTTTTGGAGCTTTCAATGACTACGGGATTGGCGAAGATGCCATTCTACCATTTTGTATCTACGTATATTTGATGGGAAAATCTTTTATATCGCACATACTGTACGTTTTGCCGAGCAAAAGCTTTCTCGCAAAGCACCGTCGTCGTTAAACGTTAAATTGGTTTCTTCGTGTGAAAACTTTATTACTCTGTCTCGCTTTGAAACGAATGCAAACTATGCAAACATCCTCTCGCCCCTTGAAAGCCAGCGACCTCGATGCCAAACCTCCCTCTAAGCTGTGATAATCAAATGATATGTACGTGTAAATAAATCCTACTCTTAGCTTTCTATTTGCGGGGTGATTTGCCGCATGCTTACGTCATGCCCTCATCCACCACAAAGTAAAAAGGAAAAGATGAGCAATTATGAGAAAAAACGTTGTGCCGTCTGTGCATTAATTTACAATACGGCCCCTCGACTCCTACTAGGCCTAGAAAGAACCCTAAATTGTTTTCTTTTCAGTTCTGCTGAGAACTATTGCGTCATTGTGACTAGCTGCCTTAAGGAACGACCAATAGCTATTTGCGCGTTTCTCTCTTGAGTGTGACCAATCTAGTCACGGCCCTGCGGCCTGCGGTGCACCCCGTTGTACGGGACTGGGGTTCGGATCGACCAAACGAGGTGCATGGCAGGAAAAGTTTATTTGAAGGATATGATTGCATTGTGATATTTTTACACTTTTACCTCTACGCACCCTATAATCAAATTATCGCTATCGTTTACATAAATTAAAACTATTATTACTATTGAGATTGTTCAAAACTATAATGAGAGTTTATCGCATCATCAGCCAGTAAGACGCGCACATATTACATTTACAAATTTATGAACGCGCCTGCGTTCGCCGATATAGATTGATGAAAGGTCATATTTTTCGCCTCTTCTCACCTCTAATCATAGGTTTTCATGCACTATAAATGTATTAAACAAAAATGTACACTAACTTTAGGTGCCATGGTGTAAAATAAATCGTCTCTCTTTTCAACTTGTTTGTAAAACTTTAAGTAATGTTATAAAACGCATTTGATTCTGGCCTCTTTGTTACTTGATTTGTATCTTGTCTTTCTTAACTTTTCCCGGTTGTGTTGTCTGGGCTTTGTTTGTACGAGCCTTGGAAGAAAGGCAGCCCCACGAAGCAGGAGAGCTGTACAGAACACTGTGAAAATTTTGGTTGTCACGGAGTGACAGCAAGATTTTACAGTGCAGTCGGAGTGGAGAGGGAGCGGTCCTCCCTCTGCGTATCGCATTTTTCACCTCTTTTTCTAAGGTCTTGCAGTAGTTCGTCGGTCCGAAGAGTTTCTCCTAAAGCTAAGCGAACGGTGCGTCCAGAGTGTGTCAAGGCATGATTGGTTGTCGCGAATGTAATACGACTCGTTCTCCAGTATTATAAAGTCTGACTTTGTGTGCGTGTATGTGTATGTGTTGAAAGGTGAAAGGTTAAATCGTGGAATAATAAAAAGTTGTGACGCCACTTTTCTGTGTCTGAGTTGCTTTTTCGCGCGGCGCGCAGAGAGGTCGCCCCGGGGATGGGGGTTGACATCTCACGTCGTAAACATGAAAATCCGGGACTCATTTCCACCGCCGCCAAAAGTCGCGGAGCAGATGGCGGCGCGCGATTCGCGGCCCGCGTCATGTTTTATTCCACTTTCTATACAGACCAGCCCCCCCCCCCCCCCACACACACACACACACCGCCCCGCCCTTCTCTGCGATTGACTGGACGTGAATATGAATGGGTTGTAAATCCGGGACCGGGGGCAGGGTGCGGGGTGACTCGACAAACACAGTCCCACTTCCATCCATTTATTCGTCCCAATAAAAGGGGGAATTGGATTAAGCACAGTGACCATGGCGACCCACCGGCCGGCTGTACACGCGACCACGCATAGATGCCTCTTTCTCTTTCTCTCTCCCTTCGCTAAACTGTCGCGTTGCGCTTGCTCCCTCTCGCTGCCTTCTTGCCGCACTCGATATTTACTGCTGCCCCCAAGGCCGGCCGGCCGGCCGCGCTCGCGCCGCCGTCAAACTTCAGTGCCATTCTGCAGCCGTAAAGGTGGCAGAGTACAATCCCGCCCTCTCTCTTTCTCTCTCTCTCTCCTTGAGCATGAAGGCCACTGTCCTGACACGGTGCTTCACTACCTCACTGGTTGCGTCTGTGTGTGTGAGAGCTCACGTCCGCCCAGCAACAGACTCAAAACTTTCAACAAGAGCGGCGCATGCGGTGCCGCGTGACGTCCTCAACTTCGTAGTCTCTTCTTAGTTCTCTTCTTATTCGTCTTGATTCGCCGTCTTCTTCTCGCTCTTCGTACACACCACTTCTTCTCCCTCTAGTGTAGCGACCTTATTGATTAAAATGGAAGTGAAGCAAGGGAACTTTTTTTTTGAACGAACATGATTGACGCAGGATGATCGGGGCGATGCCCGCAGTGGCCGTGCGCCACGAGAGACAGAAGCAACAGAAACGCGACAAGTGGTCCTCCAGCCTGGCTCTGCAGACGCCGCTGACCATCTCAGGTGACTGCCCCAACCCGGCTAGCTAGCCCGGCTCAGCCGCGCCAGCGCGCGCCAGCGTCCAGTGTAGAAAACATTGACAAGGCGCAGTTTTCCTTCCTTCCTCTTCTCTTTTTAGTGTAGCAACGTGTTTACACTCTCACAAAAAACGTGTCATTTTGTAAACAGAATTGTCCTTGCCCCTCCCTGACTGAATCGGCTTCTCGCAACAACAGGAAGAGAGACGGAGAAGGAGAAAGACGAACAGGTTGTTAGTTTGGTACACTTATTTGGACGTGGCCCGGTCCAGGGCGCTAACGCGGAGGCGAGTTGCGAGCTCAGGCAGCGGTGGAAGGTAAGTCCCAGCCGCTGGCCCGACTGCACAGTGGGCCGGAAGACCGGCGGAGGCGGTCAAAATCCCGGACGCGTTTTGAGCTCCAGAGTCGCTAAATGGGACTCGAACCGAACGAGTGACCCCACCAATGAATTGCTCTCCGAACCAGGAATCCATTGGTGGGGTCACACGTTCGGTTCGAGTCCTGTTTAGCGACTCTAGGGCTCAAAACGCGTCCAGAGTTTTGGCCGCCTCCACCGGTCTTCTGGCCCACTATGGACCGGTCTGCCTATGTCCGGCCCGCCTCCATAGCTTATTGCCCCTCCCAGGGCCTTTCGAGGGCCTTCTACGTCCCGGGCAGGGCTTCGGGCTGGGCCCACTTGCCTGCCTTGCAACTTGCAATTCAAATTCCCGGCAACCCAAGCATAGCAAAGCGCGACAATTTTTTTTTCTGTCTCTGCGTCTGTGCAGACAGACAATGTGGTGTGCATATCAACAGCGCTCGGCCGGTTGCCTACCTCGGCTTTGTTCACCTCAGCTGCGACCACACTTCCCAGCACTTTCTGCACAAATGTATTCGTGTAAACAGGGTGTGTCCCAGGCACGACTCGAGAGCGGCAAATGTCAAACTTTTCTCTTTGTCCTTCTGTACTTTTGTTTTTTGCATACATATGTAGTAAGCCGAGCCTCGTGCTGCGACACACTCTGTTACACGAGGTTCCACACTGTCGAGGGTCCTCGTCCAACACCGACAACGAGCTGGGCGCCTCCTGAAACCGAACACGTTTTCAGAATGACACGATTCCCTGCATGTGTAGTTGACGTCGTACATTTTGCATTTCGTCTGTGTTTCACTTCCATCCAGAGCATGATGCAATACGATACGTATCGTGTTCGCATCCACGTTGCTCGACAAGTGAATCTTATTGACCTGAGGCTCAGATCCATGCACGGGCGAGGTGAACCCCGCCAGTAGGGTACTATACTAGGACGCCCCCCCCCCCTTTTTCTCAAGAAAACTAGAAGGTCGAAACGACATCCTAAATGGCCCTAAAATGGCATCTGTTCTGTCCAAATTTATTCCTAAAATAAAAAGAGTCATTAAAATGAAATCCCCACTGAGCTCTTCTTGACCTCCACTGGACGAGCGTGCCCCCCCCCCTCTCCCGCGGTGGATCTGCGCCTCATGGTCTCCCACTCTTCTTGATTTCCTGAAAAAAAAAACACGCGGGACAGACAGGATGCGATTGTGAGCGTTCGAACCCGTGCCCAGGTCTCACCATGATCGGGGCCATGCCTGCCGTGGCCGTGCGCCACGAGCGCCGCAAGCAGGACCGCCGCAAGAAGCGGCCGTCGCAGCTCGGCATCTCGTCGCCGCCCACGGACTCGGTGGACAACGTGGGGCTGGGGCTCGGCCTGGGCAGCCCCGAGCCGCTGCAGTCGCCGCCGCACCGCCAGTACGGCCGCCAGGAGTACTACATCTGCGGGAAGGTACTGTCACAACCCGCAGACTGATACCGAGGGTCGTTTCCGTCGCTCTGTCTCTCTCGAACCTTTACGGCACGCCCCATGAGTGCGAGAGAGACAGAACGACGAAAATGACTCTCGGAATCAGTCTACTGCCGTTCCGCTGCAACGGCGGCGACCTCTCGCAGTGGCGGGGAGCGCCTGTCGCGGAGAGGGTAGGCCACGCGACGCGCACGGGGGCGCGGGGAGCAGTGGCTGGCCTACCCGGCAGGCGCTTCGCCGCTGACCCGTTCCTAAAGTGTCTGACGGCGTGCCTGTCGCAGGTGTCCGTGCTGCACGTGGTCGTGGTGTCGCTGCTGCTGGGCGCCATCCTGGTGATCGTCGGCCTGGTGCAGCTGACCCCCAACGCGGACGCCAGTCAGCACCGCTACCTGCTGCTGGGCGGCGGGGGCGCGCTGCTCATCATCGGCATCCTGCTGGCCGTGCTGCGCTGCTGCGTGCTGCCCTGGAGGGAGCGCCGCCTGCCCACCGCGTCCACGGCCTCCGGGGCCACCAGCGCAGCGAGTGGAGCGCAAGGTATGTGGCATGCGGTGTTCCGTTGGGGACACGATTCTTCGGAATCGCTCGGCTGGAGTGCGGAGTGTAATTGCGGGGTGGTGTTGCAGCGTCTGGCGCCGGCAGCGACGCCGGGGCCTCGAGCTCGGCCCCCGCCCGGGAGGGGCACAGGTCTCGGACTAACTCCACCACCACCAACGGCCAGGCAAGTTGAAGACCGTGCAGGCTGGAGTCGTCACTGGAAGGCTTGATCTAAACAGGTTTTGCGTTGTTCGCTCTGCAGGTGGCGCGGCGGGCGTCCAGTGCGTTCGGCGTGTGCACCCCGACTGGCGCGCAGCGCCGTCGCAGCCTCATGGACATGGAGCGCGGCATCCCGCAGGCCGTCCCGCAGGCCGCCCCGCAGGCCGTGGCCGCGGCCGCAGCACCGCCCCGAGACGTGGAGGCCGCCGAGGACACCGACGACACGCGCGCCGAGATCCAGAACCACCTCAACGAGATGAGCGCCGCCGCGCCCGCCGAGCTGGCCGCCACGTTCCCCGTCAGCATGACCGCGACGACCGCGACGGCGGGCGCGGCCTCGGCCTCGTCGGCAGCCTCCTCGGCGGCCTCGGCCGTGGCCTCGGGCCCTTCGGGCGGCGCCGACACCTGAACGCCGCGCCGCGAGTAGACGCCCGCGTCCACGCCGTGTCCGCTGGGGCGCTAGCGCTGGCGCTGGGCGTCGCCACGGAGTCCGTTGTTTTGTCCTTGTTGGCCTCGGCCGCCTGGCCTTGGGGCCTTGGCCCTGCCTGGCCTTGTCCGCGCGGTGCTGCCTGCTGCCCGCCTTGCCGTGGCGGCGGCGCCAAGATACGGCTTGCCGAACCATCCGCAGCACCAAGGTGCACTTTGTCTTTGTCTTGCATTTGAGTTTGCCTTCTTTGTGGGTCGAGGTGCACAACGGGCAAGTCCCGCACCATCATACTGTAACTGTAATTACGATATTTTTGTCTTAAATCTCTAAATATCCGCGCTGGGTCGGGGAAGTTACTTGTGTTTTACGTCTGTTGTTGAAGCATGTTGCTGGCGTCAACATGGGAGGCGGATGGTGATAGTCTTCCTTGTCTTCTCAGCCCCTCCATTCGATTCGTTCCAGCGCCTTTATGTTCGTGCTTTGTGGATCATGACACCAGGTGTCCATTTCTTTTCCGAGGCGCAGCCGGCGAGAAAATAAAAGCGGGATTCTATCCAATCGATAATGCTCTTGTATGTCAAAGCCAAGATTATTTGTTATGTTTGCGACAAGAGGAGAGAGAGAGGCTTAATATTTTTATTCTATACTTATTACTTGATTGCCAAAGGATATTGAAACTATTGTGTACAATATAGTTTTGTAAGAATTGTCTATGTCATGGGCCATGTGCTCATGCGACCATATTGTTCCGTACCACTCTTTTTGTTTTATTTAAATTTTTTTAGTGTCGCTACTAATTTTACCCATTATACCCTGGAAAATACTGTGTAAGTTACTTCTGTTCCTGGCAATGATCCACTGCATTTTTTCAGTTCAAATAATTACTTTCAGCTCAGCTTAAGCTTTATGCGACAATTTTACTCGCCTTGTCCTGAGCCACAAGCACAGGCTGACCTTTTCTTGTGTACATAGCCAAGACCCTTTGCTACTATATAGTTTTATCTTTAATTCTTGGGCTTAGCTTGCTTTGTTGATGAGAGGGCTGCCCAAATTCATATTGTTTTGCTGTGGATTGAGACAAAGTGTTTCACTGAACAGCCCTATATGTAAATCTTTGAGACCAAAAATTCTTCATGGATCTCATCATGCCAGAAGCATGTCTTGTTTTAAATTCAAGCTTGATGGAAATTTTTTCTAAAAACATATAACATACATATCCTAATTTACTATCTAAATTTAAGAATGTTTGCAAACTGGCCGTCACTAAAATTGTAATTATACTTAATCTGATGGTCTTCTTCTAATACGTGGTTGCTCTTTTTTTAACTGCACTGCAGTGGGAGCGGAGCGAAAGCAAAGCTAAAACAGGGAGTTACCAACACTAGGCCCTACCTAGAGTTTGGATGGATGTCTTAGACAACGCAAAGGAATCAAAGGAGCAGTTTGAATACAAATCTCTTTCGACAACCTCCACCTCCTGGCTTGCTTTCAATCTAATGCACAATGGGGCCTGGCCAAATGTGTACATAGATATATAGTAAACTCTGCTGTGAATTGATGTTTAAATTGTTCCTGCATTTATGTAAAATGTTTTATTAACACGTTGGGATATTTCTGTGTGATGAATTTTGGCGATTTTGACTTGGTAAAAAATATCAGTCTGTTTTATACTTCTAAACCATCTTGCTAACTAAATTCACATTGTACTATACTTAAACATGCCATGAACTAAACTCATTTCTTTCTAAATTTGGAAGCTTATAAAAGGTTATCATGTTCAAAGGATCTCTTTCCCCAGTCCCACATAATTTTGCAAAGGGCCACTGTCTTGAAAACTTTTGGGACTGTGACTTCATCTCCATATTGATGGCATATGGAAACTGTGGGTGAAGGAGAGAGCTCCCAGATCATGTATTGGGACCATCCTTGCTATTGTCTGACTGCCCTCAACTGTGTTACACGAAAATTATAATAATTGTACAGGAATGTCCACAATCCAAAAAGTAAATGTTTTGCCTTTTTTCTTGAAATGTGTATCTCTTCCCATTTCCAATTTTCACCAATCTGAGAGGGATTGAAGCCAGCAGACCGAAGGTGAGACGGTGAGACTGGAGACACAGTGCATAACGAGTCTCACACCAAGCTGATATCAAAAAGGAAATTTCTCACCAGATAATACGGAAAATATGTTCAGCTGGCACCTGACACACTTACCGCGGTTCATAGAACATTTCACCACTTTTCCTTCCTCCATAGGGAAGTTCCCTGTGGTTGCCAGAAGTGCGCTCTGGTGGGCGGGCAGTTTAAACCTAGGCGCGATGTGCCAACAGTTGACACTCGAATCGATCGTCGACCGTCAGTTGTTTTTTGCGGTCTGCTCTCAGCTGGTTGCCGATCCACTCGCAGACAGAGGTTGTACGGTCAGCATTCATCATGGGCTGGGAAACGCCAAACTGGAGAATCGGAGACTATCCATCTCAATACAACCAGAAAGTCCATGGACCCTACGATCCTGCCCGCTTTTATGGCAAACGTAAGTACAGCCAGCTGTCGACTCTGGGAGTTCTTTCCCGAGCCGAAGTGCCAAGGCGACTCGCATGACCTTGCGTCTCGCTTTTCGACCCATTTTGGAGTAAATCCGATTTTGATTGCGGTTTCTATCCACCTTGTGTTAAGTCCATCGACTGGGTTTCTTCGATCTGATCACTGTGAGATTCCGCTGTCGTTCGCGAGCCTACTTGACAGATCACATTCATAGTATGAGGTTATGTGCACCCTCGAAAGTATAGACTTCAATGAGCTGAACACGATGTTTCTTCTTGTTTGCAGCCGACACTCCTCTTGCTGAGGTGAAGGTTGGAGAGCTGGGATCATGGTTGAGCCGTCGCAACTTCCATCCCCGTGCCATGATTCAGTGCGCCAGCCGAGGTAAGCATGTCATTTCATTCCTCCTCTGTTCTCATTGTAATTAAATTTTCGGTCAAGTGCCAACTATCACATCAGTTATAGTGTTCTATCTTCAGTTTGATGGTTGTCATGTATTTATTTTGGATCCCCTGTTTGTTTTTTAGCTACTTGGCGCTGGAGGCACAAGTACGTTTTCCCAGTTAGGAGCAACGCCGCCTTCCTGTACCAGTTCATTTTCTGCACTTCAATGTTCTACTATGTGATCAACTACAAGAAGTTCAGTAAGTATTGTTGATGTTCAATACATGCTTGTATTTTTAATTTATCCATTCTGTACTTCGATATTTGTCCTTCGTATTTGTAGTTACAATCCAGTGCTTTTGTCTTTTTTCAGCCGATCACGCTCACTACAAGTACCACTAATCTGTCTCTTCAAGAGTTCTCAGCCGCCTGACCATGATATTCTTATTGAAATTGCAGGCCATGGTCCCTTTGTAGATGCTTTTTGTCAATGTACAATAAATTGTCAGCCAATTATTTGAACATATTTATTTTATTAACCTTTACTCTTATATTTAAATTTAACAGAATCTTCATTTGAATCTATCTTGAGAACAACTGTGTTGATATCACAAGCCATTAACATGGTACTTAACATAAATTAAAATTAACAAAAAAAAAATATATATTTATATAATTGGACCCATCAATAATATTAATGCCTTCAACTTTCCCTACCCTTCAAAACCTTATCTGGCCATCTTAAAACAACTTTCTTATTCCCACCTAAATCTGTCCCCTGTAGAGCTTTCATAGCCTTAGAAGCACTTTCATGGCGAGCAAAGTTAACAAAGGCACAGTATTTGTCGAGACAAAGTTTTGCACTTTTAACTTCTCCATACCTGGAAGGAAAAATGACAATTGATGAATTTTGTGAACAATATTAACACATTGCTGAGAAGGAATGAGTTAGTTTTACTCACGGTTTGAAAAAATTAGCCACTTGTGAGTCAGTCAGTTTTTCAGTCATGTTGCCTATCCACAAGGTGTAGCTCTTCATTGGATTACTAGGGCTGTAAAAACAATCAAATTTTATAATTCATGCTCTGGTTGTTGAGGTGCATCAACGCTTGTGTTTCTCCAACCTCCTACATTCTCAGACACAAAAATCTAGAGGGCAAAAGTCCCAAGCGTGAATGCAACTTAAAGGTTTAATAAGTCAAGGAAAGTCACTTACTCTTCCCTGGCATCATACACTGTTGAGGCTATTTTTTTTGGAGTTGCTATGTGTATATCTTCATCTTCTGATAAATAAAGTTCTGAGTCTTTTGATGATATTGCACCAGCCTTTAAAATTTGCTCAGCCTCCTACAAGTACAGTTAAAAACATAAAATATGTTAAATGGGCACAATATTATTATGAACACATGATAATAAGCACTAAGAAGACAAACCTGTATATCCTGAGCAGCTGTAATTGCACAGCCAGCTTGGTAACGTGTCCACCCCTTCTTACGAAGAATTTGAATCTGAGCTTCGGCTAATTCGTTTATAGCTTCTATATTATTTGGATCAAGCTTCCTGGCCCTAGTGAAACATTTATAAGATTCTTCGTATTTCTGAAACATAAAAATATTTAAGCTCAAAACTTTTCTATAAGGAAATCATTTTGTAAAAGAAACTAATTTCAATTTATTTTTAAAGTAAATGGCTTATGACTTACTCCCATGGCAGATAAAATCTCTCCTTCACGAAAATGTCCTCGAATATAATCAGGGAAATGACTTGTCATGTATCGGGCATCAGCCAGGGCTCTAAAATATAAATTACAACAGTATTTTACAAAGCAGTCACAAAGTAAAAGTGAAAAGTCAAATGCAGAATTACAACCTAGCTTAAAGTAAATATTGCGCTTTGCACATGGAAGATGTAGCGCATATTTGCTGCTGTAACTTGATTTTCGATAAGTAATAATCACGATAAAATCTTGGAGGGAATACCCTCAAGTCAACACAAGCCACAAGGAGCAATTTGCTGTGGCAGGGAATATGTGACAGGAGACTCACATTAACTAATCTCACCTCATGTATTCCTTCCTATGAAAATAGCACAGGGCTCTGTTGTTGTAAAACCGTTTCTCTTTGGGATAGCGTCTGATGGCGTCGTCCCAAATGGCCAACGCCCCCACCCAGTCGTCGAGGATGCACTTCTGATAGCCCTTCTCGCCCAGCTCGTCCATGAGCTTGAGAGTGCAACGAGTACCGCCTTCCAGATCGGCAGGCTTACAATGTAGGCCACCCAAATGTCGGCTCGGCTGGCTGTTTGGTTGTGAGTGAGCGCGAGGCCCGGGTAGGCCCCGGGGCTCCCCCACTAGGCCCGCGTACACACACGTCACCACGCGACAGCAGCGAGAGAGAGGAGAGAGGGAGAGGGGCGACCGCGCCCGCCGCGCCGGTCTGCAGCAGACCGATTCCGAGAGTCGTTTTTTGTCGCGCTGTCTCTATCGCACTCACGCGCCGTCCCGTATGGGTGCGAGAGACACAGCCACCAAACCTACTCTCGGAACCAGTGTGCCGTGCCTGGTCACGTGCTTCCTGCTATCTTCATCCACACCTCGCGCCACTCAACCTGACCTGCGTGCCACTGCCGGATGGTGGGGGGAACGCGAGTCAGCAGCTCAGAACTGTACAGCACTGGAGGACTATGGAGGACTGGACGCCCTTGCTCATTTTTCAGGTTTTTCAATTATAACCAGCTCAAGGCGAGCTCAAGGTAGAGTCTGAGTGACACGTTATAAAGTGTCGCGGTGGCAGAGAGCTCAGAGGGCTAGTTTATGAAAAGAAATCCAGTCACTGAATATCAGGGCAAGCCTAGGGGAATATCCTCACTCACCCAGTCACCCAGTCACCACGCCCGCCAACTCGCCGAGGAGAGACAGGTCCAGAGACCATGAACAGCCTGTCGCCCAAGTCCAGGCACTTCATACTTCGCGATACGCCCAACTTACTACAAAGTACCGCCCTGCCCAACTTACGAGACCATTAGGGATTAGCTGCTCGGGCGGTTAGGATCAACAGAATAAACCACAAATACTTTCAAAAAGATTTAATAAATAACAGCGTGATATAAAATAATTTCATAGAAGAGCTAAAGAGTGCTTGGAATCAGTTTGTGCGGACCGTTTGCGGCGGCCCTTTCCAATCTAACAGACTTAAAATTCAAATAAAATTGTGCAATCGCAAACAGAGAAACTAGTATAAATATTACAGGTACATAATTCAAGCAATCAGACGAGACCCTACAGCGATGGCCACGCGTCCTGGCGCAAGTTTAGAGGTTGGCGACGAGCACCTCGTACTCGGAGTAGGGCACCTCCTGGCCGGCGAAGGGGACGTAGCACACGTTGTGGCTGGCTTGGACCTGGAACAAGGAAGCAAGGGCTGCGTCAGACGGGCGCCAAGCACGGGGCTGCTTCATCGGGGACGTCGCCGTCCCAGTCCCGGACACTCACCTTGCCGATGGCCAAGACTCCCTCGTGCGTCGCCCTGCCGATGAACAGCGCCTCGCCGTCCTCGGTCTCGCCAGCGGGCAGCGCGCCCGCGGGGACTCCGGCTCCGGAGCACGGCATCCACACGGGGTCGCAGCCAGTCAGCACCTGCAAACCGACATTCGTTTACACACCCAGTCCACGACCCCCACGCGGACAGTGGCGCGACGGGACGTACCTGGTACTCCTGCTTGGCGTGCTCGGCGCCTCCCCAGGGCACGTAGCAGCAGCCGTGCGACGGCACCACCTTGCCGGGCAGCAGCGCGCCCTCGTGCCGCGCGCGCCCCACGAACAGCGACTCGCCGGACACGTCCATGCCGCCGGGGACCGCGTTGGCGGGCACGTCGCCGCCCGTCGTGTCCACCCAGGCCGCGGCGCCGCCAGCGCCAGCGTCGCGGGGCTGCACCCAGCCGGGCGCGGACGCAGCGGCGGGTTCTGCAAACAAACCAATTTTACACGCCATTCCCTCGAACAACCGCTCGACTGAGGTCCAAGAGGTACCCACCTTCAATGATCCACTGGCCGGTGGCGCCCCAGCCCGTGCAGATGCCGTAGTGGGTGATCCTGAAGGGCTCGGGGTCGTCCCACGCCACGATGGGGTCCTGCTCGCCCTCGCGGCCCACCGCCACACTGCCGTTGCCCCAGCGCACCCAGAAGCCACGCAGCTCGTCGCCGGTCACCACGTTGGGGGTGTCGGCCAGGGACTTGTCGGGCTTCTCGCGGTTGCGCCGGATGGCCGTCTTCTGGTTGCCCCAGCCGCCGATGAAGATCTGCAACAGCGGAGGAAAGGGTCGAATCAGTGCGACTGGACGTGGGGCAAGCTGGCTCGAGCCGCGGGATGGAGGTTCTGGCTGCACTGCAAGGTTGACTTATTCATGGTCACGAAGTACGTCTTTGTGCAAACCGTTGCGATGGACAAAACGGCCGGTGCCGGTACCCCACCAGCGGCAGGGAATCCCTGGCGGCACGGGGTATCTCCGTGAAGCAAGGAGTATCGCCACAGCCTACCGGTAGACATGGCAGTGCGGCCAACCTACACTTCACACACATGCAGCCGACGGGCAGCAGCCAGATTGCAAAGAGTAGCTTCGTTTACTCGCTGTCTCCGTCGCACTCATGGGGCGTCCCGTAGAGTTCGAAAGAGACAAGAGCGACGAAAGTCTCTAAAGTGAACAAATGAAAGAAACTCGTACCTCGTACATGGGCTCGGACTCGCCAGGCCCGGTGGTGAGCGCGATGTGGGCATCGTTGGCGCACTTCACCTTGAAGAACAGCGAGTTGGAGTTGACGGGGAAGAAGGTGTACTCCAACTTGTCCTCGGTCTGCACCTCTGAAACACAAACAAACGGGGAGTTACGAACGGCACAAAGCACATGCCACAGTCGGCAAAGCGGGAAGGCGGCCGTATCAGGCGGCCCGTGTACAAGGGCAGGAATGCAAGTGGGCGAGCAGTGCAGGACACGCCAACGACGGCAAGCCGACGGCAAGCCAGCGGCATGGCGGCCTCGTAAAGTGCAAAACTCGCCGCCACAGCCCTTACTGCCCGCTTCCGCCGAAGTCCCGACCCAGCCCGCCTCGCTTCGTGCTGCACGCGGCCTGCCGAGAGTCGTTTCGTCTCTCTCTCACCTACGGACGCCCCGTGAGCGCGACAGAGACAGAGCGACGAAGTGGCGCTTCGGAGTAAGTCCGCTGGAGAGGCACGGACGTTGGGAATTCCCGCTGAAAACCGCACCGCCCCTTCGGTTTAGTTGTCGAGTTGCTCTTTCTTCACTGGTTAACCCTCTCCCCGACGGGCACTGCAGGGAGGACATGCCCCCGCCCACGCGTCCTGGAGCCGCCCGCCCCTCCCCCAGCCTCTTGCAGCACTGCAAGTGCAGTGCAGTGCGCATCGACGGGCAGGTCACGGTCGCGTCCCGTCGCTGTCTCTCTCGCACCCACACGCCAAGCGCCGCGAGTGCGAGAGAGATGAAGACACGTCCCGCTCGGAAAGTGTGCAGGCCTAACCCGGCCCAGACTTCGCGCCGCACTCATCGATCTGCCGTCCCCGCTCCGTTCCGCGTCCGGGACGCCAGGACGGGCGCCAGGAGGGCGTCGACGGCGGCGCGACGCCCGGCAGCAGCACGCCAAGCGGCGCCTCACAGGGCGACGCCTGGAGCACGCCAACCAGGCCGTGACTTATGCCCAGTAACGGACCCGGGACTTCGCGAGCTCGGCGCCCGAACCTTCGCCGGGCGGGCGGACACGAACCGCCGCCGTTCTCTCTCGCTCCCCAGCGGGACGCACTATGAGTGCGACAGAGCGACTAAACTATCCTCGCAAAACGCAGTGCGCTACAGTGGCCCTGCGCTCGGCATGGAGCCGCGCTGCGGACCGCGCCTCAAGAGCTCTAATTGAAAAGGCCTCCGCCGAGGACGGCCCACGTCGTCAGAGACGTCGTCGACGTCGTCCGCCCAATGGAGGGCAGCGAGCACCTGTCACTTAAATGGCCATCAAGCGGCCCAGCCAATCTGGGGAGGGAAGACGAGAAGAGTGTACCGCGGCATTGTTTCCGGCGGGGCGGGGCGATATGCATTCGGACGGTTCGCGAGTGGGCGGCGCGGAGCGCCACGCCGCCTGGCCAAGGAGCCAGAAACGCGACAGGATTCCAGACGTACCAGGCAAAAATTGACCACAAGTGGCGTTTGGAAAGCAAGTCGCACAAAGAACTTTACGGATCGATTCACAGCAGAGCGCTTTGGACGAGACTGCGGTAGTACTCTAGTGACCCGGTGCCCCAGCCCCGCCCTGCCAGGATGCTCCAAGACAGGCCCGGTTCGACCCAAGCGAGCAAGGTCAAGCAATGCGACGGCGATCGTGTAGGAGAAGGGAGAGGGGCGAGGCGGAAGGCCTCTGACAGCCCCATCTGCCGCGCTGTCCGGCGCGCCGTGCGGTATCGCGTGATTTGGACCATCGGCCAACCTCAACCGGCCTCGCCAGCCTCGCCCAGGGCGCAGGGCAGAGCCAGCCAGCTAGGCAGGGCCCCGGGGCAACCACGGCCAGCTTCGCCTGCACCGCGTCGCCACGGCGTCGCTGTCAATTTGACGGTGGCGTGCGAACGCGGCGCGACGCGGCGTCCGTCTGTCCGCCGCGCACCACTCCGCGCAGCGTCCCGTTCATTGAGGCAGCGCGTCACGGATGAGTCACCGCGACACAGACAGACAGACAGCGGACACAACGTCCCGCACCTAAAAGGTCGCCTAGCATTTCGGGCCCGCAACACACAAAAACACGGCGCCATTCGACGCGCGGTACCAGGCGGCAGGCAGGCCCTAGGCCTGGTCGATACCAGCGTACCAGTCCCAGGGAAGTCAAATGCACCGCACCCGTTCCGCCTGTCCAGTGTCCTAGTCCGGCCGGGTCCGGCGCCCACGCCCCGATAGATTCCGGCAACCACAGCAGCGCCCTACAATAGCAGCTGATCTCAGCGGAAGACGCGCCGGTGCGGCGCCGAGCCGCGCGGCCCGAACACGAAGAAGGGCCGCCGCGCCGCGGTCTCGGCCGCGGTCCCGCCGTGGCGGGGAGCCAACGGAATAAACGTCGGCGTTCAAAAGTGGCCGCAGGGCGGCGTGCCTTCGGACGCGGCCACACCGTAAACAGCGCAGGGCCCCGCCGAGGGCGACGGGGACAGACGACGGGCCGGTGCGACAGCGCGCTGAGCACGCAGCCCCGAGGGTGTGGCTGGCGGCCGGCAGCGGCCCGGGGCGCGCGATGCGACGCGCTCAGCTGAGCGGCCAAACACGAGAAGGGTTCGAATCGAATGCTACAGAGTATATAGAAGCGCCAGTAAAGGCGCCGGCGTACAACATGAAGTAGCCTGGGTTCGGATCGAATGTTACAGTGCAGCAGAACCACCGAAGCCACCGGCACACCGAACGCCCACACGGCACACACGGCTAGCCACGCGGTGCGAAAAGGGGCCGCGGATGGCAGTCGGATTGCGCACAGCGCTTCGTCTCTCTCGCACTGCCGCGCAACGCCCCACGAGTCGGAGAGAGACAGACGAAAACGATGTTCGGAACCGAATATCCCTGCAGTCCGTGCAGATGCGATGGAAACGGTACGGAAACTCGCGGATGACAGTAAAGGACACGGGGAACAAAAGGGGAGACCACGACATCGCAAACACCACTCACCTCGCGACATGTTGACAGTGGTGGGTGTTCGGCGGGCGTCGGGCTGACTTGGACTGTTGTCTTCAGAGCGCTGCTGACTGCTGCTGGCTGGCCGGGCTGCGACTCGACTCTGAGGTGTGGGCCGGCGTCGCGGAGGAGGCGGTCTCGGTGCTGCGCCGTTTCGCCGGCCGGCCGCCAGGGGGCGTCGCCGGCGTCGGAAAGCGATCAGCGCTGCCAACTGGCGTTCGACTCACTTCCGGTGAATCGGCAGGCAGATTCCGAGCACTGCCCTCGTCGCTCTGTCTCTCTCGCACTCATGGGGCGCCCCGAATGGGTGCGAGAGAGACGGAGCGACGAAAACAGTGCTCGGACTCGGAAGTAGTCTGCAGGTGTACCGGCAAGGGTCTGGTCTCGGCGGAAAAAACACGAAGGGGTGCGTGGCATTCCCCGTCCCCCTGCAGGATCGTCGTTGCGTCAACAGCAGATGACAGAGTGCCTCGAGCCCACCATCGGCGGGGTCACGGTCACGGGGAAGTCTCCGTCCCTCGGGCGGGGCGCGGCGGACGCAGCAAGGAGACCGCCAGGATTGAATCCGGGGCGGGCGAGGGAGGAGGGGAGGGAGGGGCTGAGAGAGACGAGGAAAGGAACGCAATCGTTCGTAGGAATCTGGTTTATTTTGTCATATTTTAAAAATAGTAGTATAGTGACACGACCACAAAAATAGCATGTGGAGCTAGGGACAAAAAATAAGTATAGTATCGACTTACACGCAGTACAGTTTGAGAGTGGCACAAAACACGTTCACTCCACCAACACTCAGAGAAATCGCACCCACCCCGATGGTCCCGTAATCGCCTTCATTTTATTCCATTCTCATGGCACAATATGAAAATCCACTAAAAACATAAACAAGAAGAGAGATCATGTAGTAGAGGCAGGTGTCCCGACTCATCACTAATTAACAATGACTCATAGCAATAAATCTCGGCACCATCTTGAGTGCTGCTAGTTATTCCATCAAGCGTTTCTGGGGATGAGATCCCCACCACACATGACACACACATGACACACGCTCGTCGCCACGCCGCGCCACAGAGACGGGCGTAGCGCCGCGCGTGGAGTATCGTCGCGGCGCCGCGGTGGCGACTGGATGGCGCCTGGCGCCTGCAGTCCCTCGCTGCGCGGAGTATCGGCGGCCCGTCCGGCGCGTTCCGCGTGCTCCCAGCTGCCACTCCACTGCTTTACCGTACGCGTGCGGTTAGCGTCCCAATCGTCTTTGAGCTGCTCATTAGCGAGGTGAACTTGATGGTCTCCTTGCAGTTGGTTGGCGCGCCGCGGCACCGCGACGGCGGCCAGGAGGCCCTTTGACTGCACTGCAACCACAGCGGCAGTGGCCAGGTCGACGCCGGCGGCGAGGGACTCCAGAGCTTGCTGGAGCAGGCCCAGTGTCCAGAGGCCTCTAGGCGACCCAGGCGGCCCGGCCGACCGCGTCGTGTCCCGGGGGCGGCGCGGGGGCGGTGCCGGAGGCGGTGAGCCCCACGACGCTGATGCCCAGGGAAGGCCCCTCGCCCCCCGAGCCCGCCCCCCGGCCGCGGCCTCGGCCCGCCCCCGGAGGCCCGTGTCAGTCCGCCTTGAGCGGCCACCGTCGGCACTCCACGGCCAGCAGCGCGGCCTCGGCCGCCAGCGTGGCCAGCGACAGCACCAGCACCACCATGGCGACGATCAGGATGTCCCGGTTGCGCTCCTCGGCCCTGTGGGCAGGCCGGGCAGGCCGGGCAGGCAGAGGCACGTGTTGGTCAGGGAAGTCAAGACAGAGAGACAGGCAGGCAAGCACTGGCGGCACGCGGGCATTCCCCACCGTTATATTTTGCCAGTGTGGCAAACCTGCGCAAATTTATTTTGAACGAATGAGGAATGAATGCAGCATTCGTCCAAGCAGTGTTTAAAACAGCAAATTTTGAAATTTGTCTATTGTTTTACATTTAGCTTTTCTGAATGTGTTAAATATTTCCCGGTGTGTACTGATTTGGGCATTTAAAACATAGTCATGTTGGTGCAATGTTGCCATAGCAACGTACTCACTTCACCTTGTTTTTTGCTTGTCAGCAAAATTCAAATTGAGGGCGAAGTCAGTTTTTTATATGAGGTGAACTATGTCTAAAGTAAAGGAAGAGTTGTTTTTGATGGAAGGTTCTGTGCCTCAAGATGCCAACTCCAAAGTTAAGACTGAAATATTATCGCCAGAGGAATCAACACCAGAAGTTAAGATTGAAATGTATACACCAGGGATTTGTGAGCCCAATAGTGACAGCTCACATGTGCCCAAAGTTGAGGGTGAGACATTTGCGCCAAATGGTTTCATGCCCCAAGTTATCAACTCTACACGCTCATGTCCCTATGCATCAGGGAAATTCTGTAGGGGGTGTAGTGTGTGCAAAAGGAGGAATGCTTGTAAGAAGAGAGGATGGGCTCGTGCTTACAGAAATGAAAATAATTTTGCTGTAAGTTATGTTATATAGCATGCCATTGATATACTTTAAAAGATATCCATTTCATTTGAGTCCTTTTGTAGTATCCAAGTCAAAGTAATCCTTATGTCTGGGTGCGAAAAGAAGATCATGTCAGTCAGACGGCTAAAAAAGAAATGAAATATGAAGAGACTACCAATATTGTTGTACCAGAGGGGCCCAATTCTGATCATCAACCAAATGTAAGATTGTTAAAGGATTATGCATATTGTTGTTACTTTATACAACTCCATGTAAACATTGCTGCATGAAAAATTTTTTTCAGGTTTCTCATCCTACTGACTCTGATGAGCTGACAGCAACTGATTTAAAATTTGACATTGAAGCAGTAATCAAGAGAGAGACTTTGCCAGAAATAGATCCCAAAGAAACAAAACAAGATGATCAGACTGCATTTTTAAAAGGACTGTGAGTAACAATTTGCGAGATGACCGAGCCATCGTTAAAATGACGCTTTCATGATGTGTACTGCGTCCGTATTTTTATAAAGATTTCAATAGTTTGTAAAAATACTTTTTTCTATGTCAGTGCTTATAAATTTTGGCCGTTAAAATTATCAAGATAAGTTTTGTTGAAGCTCGTCAATAGTGCAGCAGTTAGTTCACGTTAGTTCTGGTCAACAAGGTCATCTGAAAAACGACCAGGTTAGGTTAGGTTAGGTTAGGTAGGCAGCCCGTCCGCCTGGATGCATCGTGGGCGAGCAATGTTGCCTCCCCGCCGGGCGCCAGGCTGCCATCAGCTGCCACCCTTCCGGCCGGCACAGCGTGGGACTGCGTGGGACTGCGCGCGGACTTCCACCCCGTCGTGTGGCAACACTGTCGGGCGGGGCGTAGGGCGTACCGGAACTGCGCGATGAAGGCCGAGACGGCGGCCACGATGAGGGCGGCGTGCAGCAGGCAGGCGAGGACCCAGCAGGCCGCCAGCGGGCCGACGCGCCGCGCGCGCCACAGCCCACCGCCGCACTTGCCGCACCAGCCGCCGGGCGCCGCGTCGCCGCCGCCGCCCAGGCCGGGCCCCGCGAAGCTGCGGCTCAAGTGGATGCTCACGGCTGCGGCAGAGAGACAGACAGGGCAAGCTTAGAGAGGGCGAGGAGGAAAAGGGTGGCTCAGGACCGCTCAGGGCGCGGACGCGTGGACGGCCCAATCCGATTGGCGATGTTTTTATTTATGTGGCCCTTCCCCTCGGCCGGGCGTGCCCTGCAGGGCCGCCAGGCCGCCTGCAGACTGATTCCGAGAGTCGTTTTCGTCGCTCTGTCTCTCTCGCACCGATAGGGCGCACCCCATGAGTGCGAGAGGGACAGAGCGGCGAAACAACTCCCGGCATCGGTCTGTACGAATTGGCTGGCCGTTCCTCACAAAAGCCGCGCGGCCCGGAGGACCGGACGCAGCACCCTGATTCCGAAGAATGGATTCGTCGCTCTGTCTCTCTCGCGCTCCTACGGGACGCCCCATGAGTGTGAGAGAGACAGCGCGACGAGACGGTCCTTCGGAGTCGGCCCGCCCGGCAGGTCGAGAGTCTCGAGAGTCTCGAGAGTCGAGGCGATAGTTCGCCTGGAAATCACAGCGAAGGCGGAGGGCAATGAAGGACGGCGGGAATGGACGCTCCCATTATATGAAGGGGAATCGATGGCCAACAAAGTTTGCCACATTACGTCTTCATTTCCAATGATTTTCGCAGAGGTCACCCCGCCCTGGCCGCCCTCTGTGTTTTCTCCTGTCTCCGCGGAGGCGGGCCCTGGAGCCACTGGAGCCACTGGAGCCAAGGGGCGCCTATTAAAGGGACCGTACCCAGGGCGAAGGCGAAGCAGTGCACGCTTTCAGCTTTTCTTCTTTTTCCGACCCACCTTCCCGGTTCTGCATCAAAGCAGTGCCGCCACTGTAAACGCGCATGCAGCGCGGCGACGTACCTGCAGCCAGCACGGTGGCCAGGCCCGCCGGGATGCCCAGGCCCAGGTTGAGGCGGCCGCGCTCCTCGATGAAGCCCACCGTGCCCATCACCATGGCGGAGATGCCGCACACAATCTGCAACACAAGAAAGCGCCTGCGTGATGCCGACGTCCTGCCGCCCCGTCGCTCTGTCTCTCTCGCACCCGTGTGACACGCCCCATGAGTGGGAGGGAGACAGAGCGACGAAACGGTTCTTTGCGTTCAGGCGGCAGAGGGACTAGAGGACTGACGGCGAGGCGCGCGCCAGCACCATGCCAACTGTTGCAAATGAATTGGTGTGTAGTCGCTCGGGCGGGCGGTCGCAGACGCCGCCCGGCCCGGCCCGGCCCGGCATGGGCCCAAGGTCGCAATGATTTGGCCGCCACCACCGGCAGGCCCGATTTTCTGCTCCGGCCTTTAGCCGCCCTGAAGTTGTGGAGCGGAAAATGGAGGCATTTGCCCCCACCCTCCTCCTCCTCCCTCCTCCCCTGCTCGCTTGTTCTCGCCCCGTTCTTCATCTCGGTTGCTCTCCCTCGCACACAGTCGCTCCCTCTCTCGCACACACACTTGCGCGCGCACACACACACACACGCACACGCCCCGTTGGTCTTCCACAACTCCAATCAGCCGCTCTGCCTGTGCTAACGATTTTAGTTTCCTGGGAGTCACCCCCAACCCCGCGGGCACGCCCAGGGCGCGCCGGCCCGGCCTGCCTTCGCCTTCCCCTCGCGGTGATTCTAATAGAGGATCCGAATCCGCTGGGCTGGCTGCTGGCTGGCCCGCGCTACCTAGGCCGCAGCCATGGCCGCAGCGCCCCGGGTCTGCGCGTGCAATACGCCTCCCATCCCCACCCATCCTTTCGTTAAAGACATTATCCGCCCGGGTGGGATTATTGGGCACGCACACGGACACACACACACACACACAGCGACGGACCCTCACACTTTATCCTCGCGCCAGCACTCACATGCACGTCCACTTATGCACGTACACACGCACACACACCTCCACTCACCAGGGGCTCGCTCGGCAAACTTGGTTGAGTGCGTTCCACAAGTTCCATAAATGCCGCGAACGGCGCGAATGGACTGACCTGCACGACGCGCAGCCGGAGCACGCTGGCGTGCGGGTAGGTGGTGAGGAGGGGCGCGTCGTCCACGCCGGGGTCGTCCTGGCCGTCCTGCGCCGCGCACTGCGACCACTCCTTGCTGCGGTTCTTCATCTGCAACACGACAAAGCGACCACACTGTTATTGGCGGCCGCACACACATTGCGATTGGCGGGCTGCAGCCCTGCAGCTGCAGTCGAACGAAAACAGCAAATACTACCGGTGGTCGTGTGTGTGTGTGTGTGTGTGTTGTGTGTGCGCGCCGCGCGCGCGCGCGCTTCGAGGCCCAACTGAACGTGAGCATGTGTGTTTGTGTGAGTCTGTTGAGGGAGGGCATTCCATTAATTGAAGGCCAGCCTCCGCCATTCCGAAGAATCCTTCTCTCTCTCTCTCTCTCTCTCTCTCTCTCTCTCTCTCTCTCTCTCTCTCTCTCTCTCTCTCTCTCTCTCTCTCTCTCTCTCTCTCTCTCTCTCTCTCTCTCTCGCACCCCTACAGAACGCCTCATGAGTGTGACAGGGACCGAGAGACGAAAGGAGCCCTTCGGAGTCGGCCGCTGCGCGCTGCGTGTGCTGGGCGTGCTGGGCGGCGGACCGCCTGCAGTGTGGCGGATAGGCCACCCGCCCGCCCGCCGTGCGTCGCCCACGACGGCTGGCCCGCCTCGCAGGCGTTCCGTGTCCCCAGTGTCGATGCGCGACGCGGCGCTACGAGTGTGCAGTGGGCGCGCCTTGCGGTGCAGTGCCAGGGCAGGCGGTAGGCGAGGGCGGTCCAAAGCCCGAGTCAAGGCACCACGGCCGTGGCAGAACTTGTATGTGGTTGGAGATCGGATTTCACATCCATAGCCGTCCCGCGACCGGTCCCATTACTACCGCACAGCGCCGCCAGCAGACTGATTCCGAGAGTCACTCTGCCTCTCTCGCACCCATACGGGACTCTACATGAGTGCGAGGGGGACAGAGCGGCGAAAACGACTCTCGGAATCAGTCGGCAGCGCGAGCGGCACTGAAATTGTGGAGCGCAGTCACATTATCCCCTGGGCACCGACACACACAAGGGAGTTGACTTCATCCCGGGGCCGGAAAAAGCCCTTTTGGAAACCAGCGTGAATACCGCTCCCCTGCCCGCCTGCCTGTGCCGTTTGATATAACGCTCTGTCTCTCGCCACCGTGGGGCCTCCCGTAGGAGTGGGAGAGAGAAGGAGCGACGAAGGCACTTGTTCGGGATCGAGCTGCTGTGCTAATTAATCATCCAACCAGGTTGGTGGTCTCGGCGGCCGCGGTGGGGAGAAGGAGAAGGTGGCGTTGGTGTTGGGGAGGATGGGTAGGAAGAAAGGGTAGGAAGGAAGAGTAGAAAGGCACGCAGGGAGGGCACGAGCGGCCGAGACAGCCAGGAAGGCAGGAGGCACGACGGGCAAGACAGTCTGGACGGCAAACAGCAGCCCACCTTCGCCTTCTTCTCGAAGCGGCCTGCGCGGGCCTCCGCCCCCTGACGTTCGGGGCCGGGCATTTCGGCGTTATGCGCCCCAACTAGGGCAAGGGCCTGCCTGCCTGCCTGCCCGCCTGCCCGCCCGCCCCGCGCGCTCTGTCTGGACTGATTTAGGGCCGGGCTTGGTGGGGCTGCCGCGAGCCGCGAGCGCGCCCTGCCTTGCCTCGCCTTGCCTGCCTGCACACAATAACAGCGCTAGCTTTTGTGGAAGGCGGTGACCCGAGAAGTGCGTAACGCGTACAACGTCCGCGCGGGTCGGCCGAGATGACGCACTTCGTGGAGGAGGCTGCCGTGGCGGTGGTGGAGGGGCGCGGCGAGGCGCCTCTACCTGCGCCAGCGTCGCGCTGTCTCTCTCGCACGCTCGCGGTACGCGCGGGACGCCCCGCGAGTGCGACGGAGACGGAGCGACGAAAGCACCTTCGGAAAGGGCCCGCTGTACCTGCAGATTAGTGCGGATTTGAGGGGCGCGGCGCAGGCGGCGCAGCTGCGGGCGGATGTAGGCGGATGTAGGCGGTCGTTGGAACGTGGTCGATGGTGCTGCTACGCTGCCACCGCTGCCACGGGCTGGGGCGGCATTATGGAGCACTAGTGCCTCTCGCTAGTGCCGCGCCGAGGCCGGCCGACCGGGCGGAGCGGCAGAAGGCGCACACAGAGGCGGAGGAAAAATCTCGCACGGAATAGTGCATGATTTACTTGCGACGCGTTGCCGAACAGTGTACGCACCCGAGATTGTAAATTTCCTGTGTTGTTAATGAGCGGGTGTTAGGTAAAGTGTTGGGGCGGCTTGCGAGGGGTGGCGTCGTAGTGGGGCAAGCAGCTCTATTGGCAGAGCGGAGAAGCGCCACGCCACGCCACGCCGCGCCCTGCAAACTCTGCTGGGCTCTGGCAGCGCTGCAGTCGCATTTGGCATTCTGTTTTGGACGGGTCGTCGGGGCGGGGCGGGGGGCGGGGCGGGGCGGGGCGGGGCGGGGCGGGGCGGGGCGGGGCCGCGCCTCGCATAGCACACGTGGTGGATAAGACACCTCGCCCTTTCCACTTGACAGTCGGACCGTTTCCAACCAGTCTGCGTATACAGTCTCAAACTCGCCCGGACAAGCTCTCCCTCGTGCAAAAAAAAAAAAAAATCAGGGAAAAACGACTGCTACAGAGAATCTTGTCAAGTTTGTCAAAAATGTTTTTAATCAAACGTTACGCAGGGAATCCAACGTTTCACAAGGGAGGAGGGCGAAGCCGAAACGCGTGTCCGATGGGCTAGCAGCGCGGGGTGGAAGGCAGTGGAAGGGGCCTGATGGAGTGATAGTGTGTGCCGTGCAGATCCAATGAAAACACACAAAGCACCCCGAAAGCTGAAAGCCGAAGCGCCATTCTCCGCGCGCTCTCTGTCCCTGGATCTCTGAATGCATCTCTGCGCGTCACTCTGCGCACGCTGCCCGGGTCGAATGAATAACGGAACGCTTTCCGACAATCGGCGCGTCGCAGAGTCGCGCCACCACACTGTGCGGCTCCAGCACCCCCTCCCCTACCCCCCTCTCCCCACTTGAGTCCAATATTAGCGCCACAAATTCGTCCACTTTTGCAATTAAGTGGCGGCGGGTGGTGAGCTATTTGTCAACGGACAGCTGAAGGCCTGAGTGGAAGGGGGAGAGGGGAGGGGGAGAATGTGCCGGAGGGCCTCTTTGCCGCTTGCTGTCCCCCCACCCCCACCCCCTCTTCCCTTCCCATTACATTGAATTGACCGCGTGGTAATTTGTTTTATTTATTTGTTTATTTTTTCCTGGCAGTGAGCTTGACAGGTCGACGGGGGGCAAGGGCCGCACTTGAAGCCACGCGAACCCGGACGCCCGCCCGGACGGGACGGGCCGGCCCGTTTAATTTATGGAACACTCCGAAGCGAAAGCGTTTGTCTGAAGGGAACGCATTGGCCGACCGATGCACCGCACTCCAGAGCTGAAAAAGTGCGTGATCTTGTCCCTCCGCCGAAGACTAAAGTCACACGAAAGAACGATAAGAAAGCCATTTTCTTCGGTGCAGGAGCGCGGACACCGCCTCAAAACACCGTGGCATAGATCCCGCAGCCAGTTTCGCCCGTGAAACTTTCTTTCTGGTGTGGCGTTCCTGACACTAGCTAGTGTGCTCCCCGCCGCACACCCCTCGCCCGGCCGGGCTCCGTGCTGCGGTCGCCGCGGTGCAACCTCATTTTTACTAACGCGCGTCAACGAGGTCTGCGCCGCTCCGGGCGGGGCGGGGGGGGGCGGGGCGGGGCCACCCACGCCGCCTTTGCCATGTCACACACGTAGCGCGGCACAGCCGTCACCCCGCACCGCATGGACCCGCACGGACCGCATGCCAGTGCCGGCAACGCGCAAGAAATCCCGGACCTAGTCCCTCCCGCGATGTGTGTGTGTGTGTGTGTGTGTGTGTGTGTGTGTGTGTGTGTGTGTGAATGTGCGCGAGTCGCCCACGCGAAAACAGCGAGGGCTCTGTGGGATATGAGGCTCCGACCCCGCCGCGCCCCGCCGCCCTGCCTCAAGGCTGACTCCGAACAGCGGTCGTCGCTCTGTCTCGCAATGCTCCTGCGGAACGCGTCGCGTGAGTGGAAGAGAGACAGGGGCGACGGCATAGGTTTGAGGCCACAATGTCACAAGATAGGGGTTCGGCTAGTAAGAAGGTGAGTGCGACTGCAGTCGGATGTCCGAGGAGCGCTTTGTCGCTCTGTCTCCCTCGCTCTGTTGGGCGGCCCATCGCGAGGGCGAGGGAGACAGAGCGACGAGGCGCCCTTCGGAGTCAGACTGCTGCCAGTCCCCCACGGTGCCGCGGACTTACAATAGCCGCGCCTCCAGAAGCATGCCAACTGCATGCCGGCGGGGCGGGCGGGGCTGCCGACGACAACGCTCCGGCCGACGACGCCGGCGACGTGCCGAAGAATGAGTGTGTGCCGCCGCACACTGATTCCGAGAGTCGGTCTCGTCGCTCTGTCTCTCTCGCACACGCAAACGCGCCACGAGTGCGATAGAGACAGAGCGACGAAAACGACCTCTCGGAATCAGTGTGCCGGTGAACCCGAAAACGAACTGCACGGTGTTGTTTGTGCGGGGGCAGCACCAGGGCAGCACCCCGCCAGCCCGCCGCCGGGCCGACCGCACGATGTGGGGGCAGTTAAAAAATAAAAACGATAAAAACGATAAAACGACCACTGCGAGCAGCGAGGCATGATGAAGTTCGGAACAGAACCCGCTCCACAAAGAGAGCGGTGAAAGTTGACGCGCTCCAGGCGGCGCGCCTCGCCGCTGCGTTTCAATATGAATGACTCGTTTGATTGTGCCGACGTGGCGGTCGTTTTGAAATCGCGTTCGGCGGCCTGCAGGTCGGTCCCTCACAGTGCGCCCCGCCACTCTGTCTCTCTCGCACTCATGAGGCGGTGGTGGCCGGTGCGGGCCCGGGTCGGGCCGGGGGTCGTGAGGCGCGAGGCGCGACCTCGCGTAATGTCTCACCGAGAGGTGGCTCGGCTCGGCTCGGCTCGGCTCGGCTCGGCTCGGCTCGGCTCGGCTCGGCTCGGCTCGGCTCGGCTCGGCTCGGCTCGGCCCGGCTCGGCTCGGCACGCCCCGGCTCGGCTCGGCACGCCCCGGCTCGGC